TACCGAGGGTGACAAAATGAGACTCTGTCTCAAGAAAAAAAAAGGAAAAAAAGAAATGGTCCAGGGCTCCCAGCAGCTCTCCTGTGCACAGCCAGCCCCAGCATTGCCCCACACCTGTCTGTTTGTGCATAGGCATATTAGTAAAGTGGGAACAATGTGTCAGTAGTATTTTATATTTTGTTTTCTTCTCCTTAATTATGAATACTTTAATTCTGAGGGCTGATGTAGGTGCTAACATATGCATGTGAGAATTTCCTACGTTTTCTTCCTATCGTTTTCTTTCATTTGTTTATTTCCTGGCTATGATAAGCCTAGGTGTTTGGAGAATAGAGGGCATCCAGATGACTAAGCATTCATTTCCCTTCTGAGACCCTCATGGCTCCTCCTCAGAGGTCCGGATGAGGTCTTTGTGTGCAAGATCCGTGGAGTACAATTAATTCTCGACCTGTGTATTAGGATCATCTGGGGAGCTTTAAAACCCGCTGATGCCTAGGTCCACTTTCAGAGATTCTGATTTATTAGGTCTGGGTTAACCCGGGCACTGGGAGTTTTTGAGGCTCCCCAGGTCATTAGAACGCAGGGCCAAGACTGAGAACCTGCCCTAAAACCTGTTTCCCTCACCTCATCCTCCTCCCTCACAGTCCACAGAGACAAAAATTGGGTTGGAGAAAATAGTTTTCTCTTCTCGGTCAGCCCCACCCTAAGTGAAGCAGTGTGGTTTAAGGTATTGGGGACTCTCAGTGCCCACTGGGAAAGGAGTCCTCAGAGAGGCCCATCCCACTTCTGACTCTCCCTTCCCCTTTTTATTCAGTATGGAATCGTGCTGGATGCCGGGTCTTCCAGAACCACAGTCTACGTGTATCAGTGGCCAGCAGAGAAGGAGAATAATACCGGAGTGGTCAGTCAAATCTTCAAATGTAGTGTGAAAGGTAAGGACCGAAGTCCGTTTGGGAGGACCGAAAGAAAGGTAGAGTCCTAAGTCCTCTGGAGGCCTAGCGAGGTCCTGAGAAGCTACCCGGAGGCAGGGACTGAGGTGGGACTTGGGGGTCGGGCAAGTGCTATGGGATCTTGTGCTAGTGCGGCTCCTTCTAGCACGACAACCTCGCTCCAGGCACTTTCCCTCTCTGGGCCTCAGTTTTCTCATCTGTAAACGTGGGGCTGAATGTCAGGAACTGTGAACGGTCTGCGAGTTGACCACATTGTGTTTTTATGGATGCTGGAAGACATCAGGCTCCTGGGTCAGAAACAAAGGCAGTTTGTCACAGCAGTAACCAGAGTATCAGTGTTTTCTTGAACTGGTTCTCTGACTGCCAGTTTGCACAGGATGATAACAAAGAGGGCCAGACAGTATGTGCTCATGCAGTGAATTCTGTTTACAAAAAGGAGGCCTGAGATTATTTTTCTTTTGAGACAAGAGTCTCACTTTGTCCTCCTTGGTAGAGTGCCGTGGTGTCACAGCTCACAGCAACCTCCAACTCTTGGGCTCAAGCTGTTCTCTTGCCTCAGTCTCTCAAGTAGCTGGGACTACAGGAACCCTCCCAGCTATTTTTTTCGAGATGAGGTCTTGCTCAGGCTCAGGCTGGTCTCAAACTCATGAGCTCAGGCAGTCCACCCGTCTCGGCCTCCCAGAGTGCTAGGATTATAGGCGTGAGCCACCGCACCTGGCAAACCTGAGATTATTTATAATGGGCAGGAGGCATGCCTGCCTTTGCTCTGGAAGAATATCTTTGTCTTCCAAGGCTTCTTGCTATGCAAACATCCGTAAAAAGATACTCAGGAATAGAGGCAGTCAGCACTTCTGCTCATAAGACGTGGAGAAACGCAGACATATGTGGAAAATTTGTCTTCCAACAGGGCAAGGAATGGCTGGGTATATTGGGAGTGAGTAAGGAGGGGCATTGACAGTGTGTAAACAGATGAGCTTGGCTCTGTTCCAGTGAAGCTTTATTTATGGACACCGACATTTTGAATTTGTACACCTCTCACGTCACAAAATGCTGGAGGCTGAGGCAGGAAGATCACTTCAGCCCAAGACTTGGAGGCTGCAGTGAGCTATGTTAGGGCTTCTGCCCTCCAGCCTAGGTGACAGAGTAAGATGTTATCTCAAAAAATAAAAAAAATTTAAAAATTAATAAATGTGAAAATTCTCTTAGTTCACAGGTTGTACAAAAAGGTGGTAACTATAGGCTGCCAACGCCTGAAATAGAATATCACAGCATCTTTAATTACCATCCATGAAACTCCCTGCCTTCCCAAAAGCATATTCAGAATTTTATGTTAGTTGTGTCCTTGTTCTTCTTGATAGTTTTGTCTTATGTATGTAGTCTTTCCTGTTTTTGAAAATGAAATCAAGCAAGTATTTATATAAAAGAAACCAAGCATACATTTTTCTGTAATTTGCTTTGTTCACTAACATTGGATTTTTAAGGTTCATCTATATATTAGTATCTATGGCTCGTTTATTTTTCTCTATTGATGGACATTTGTGTTTCTTTGGTTATGAATAATATTGACTGCATTTTTATGTATTTTGGCCATGTCTGTTTTCTGTGAAATGTCTTTTCATGTCTTTTGATAATTTTTCTACTGAATTGCTTGATATTTTCTTACTGATTCATTGAAATTCTTTATAACTATTCTGAATATGAATACTTTGCTAATATTATTATATCAATACTAATAATAACTTCTCATAGTTTATAATTTGTGTTTATAGTTTCTCCATGGTATCTTTTTTTTTTTTTTCTCTTGAGACAGTCTTACTATGTCGCCCTCGGTTAGAGTGCTCTGGCATCACAGCTCACAGCAACCTCAAACTCTTGGGCTCAAGAGATTCCCTTGCCTCAGCTTCCCAAGTAGCTGGGACTATGGGTGCTCACCACAATACCTGGCTATTTTTCTGTTGCAGTTGTCTCCCAGGCTGGATTCGAACCCACCACCTCAGTGTATGTGGTCAATGCCATAACCACTGTGCTTCGGGCGCAGAGCCCATGGTATCTTTTTATGAGTAGAAGTTCTTAATTTTTTTGTAAGTACAACTATCAATCTTCTCCTTTGTGGTTTCTCTTTTGCATGTTTTCTGTAAGACATCCTTTCCTATCCTGAGCTCATAAAGATACCCCTTCTATCACAAGTGTCATAATTTTTCCCCTTACAATTAATCTTTAGTCCACATAATTAGGCCCAGTTCATAAGTATGTGCATGTGTAGGATTTTTTAAAGCCACCCTCTTCCTCCTTAGAGCATTAAGATCTTTTAGTTGGCCTGGTGCTTTCTAACCAGTGTGTCCTGATTGTGCTCGGTGTGTCTTTCAGCCCACAGAGCAACAGGTTCCGCACTGTGGACCTGTCTTCCTTCCAGGACACTCCTTCATTTCCTTCAGTGAAAGGAATACTGAAATATTCCAGTGCTGAAATGCTCCATTGTAAGTTCATAGGATTTGTGGCATTGAAAAAGTCAGGAAGCAGGGTTAGACTTTTCCACCAATAGACCCAGAGTCTTCTTTGGACAACCAGGTGAGGCAGCCTGGAGCCGGTGTCCAGGTACTGCAGGCAGGTTAGGTTCTTTAGAAACAGATATTGAGACAGAATTTGGGTTAGAAACCCACTCCTGTGGCAGAAAAGGTGGGGCAGAAAAAGAAGTCCAGCTTCAACTCTTACCTGCTGAAGCTGCAGCCAGTCAGTTACTCTGCACTGGGTTAAGATGGCATGAAGTGATGGGGCACTGTTGCCATTGCTTACTGGGTGTTTACCACCCCCGAAAGGGCAAGGTCTTAAGCAAGGCAGCTCTCTGCAACTGAGGCAAACCCCTAAGGAGCTGACGGCTGGGACAAGACTTCTTTATTGGAAGGGGTTCTGTGTAGCATGGCTTTGAGTTTACTGCAATAGGGGGCTTAGACGTTTTCCAAGTGTTGCTTTCAGTGTTATCCACAAGACACAGGCAGCAGAGCTCTGGCCTCAGCCAGCGATCCCAGGTCTGTTCAGCTAACTTCTGAGCCATTTCCTCACATCTAAGCATGACAGAAGGCAGCAGGACGTTTCTTTTGGAAAGAGAGACCACCTGCTCTAAGAAAAGAGAGACTAAGGTAGGGTAGTGATTAAGACTGTGCCCCATGTCTACTCTGTGAATTCTGGAAAGTTATCTAACCTCTCTTTTGACCCTTTAAAATAAAAAACCATAAGTAATAATAGTATTAGCTACCTCTATAGGACTGATTTAAAGATTAAACAACAGGGCAGTGCCTGTGGCTCAAAGGAGTAGGGCACTGGCCCCATATGCCAGAGGTGGTGGGTTCAAACCCAGCCCTAGCCAAAAACTTGCAAAAAAAAAAAAAATTAAACAACACAACATTATAAAGCAGGTAGCAAATGTGTGGCATACAGCAAGCGTTTAATAAGTATTAGTAGTTATTATTCGTGGGGCACTACAACCTGGAGCTCCTGGTTGAGCTTCTTGCCGACAGCTACTCCGTCCCATAGTCACAAGATCTCTGTCTTTAGACTTTTAAGAGCAATTCAACTAAGTCAGTCCTGGTGGCTTTGTAGGGAGAGGTGGGAGTGTCATGGGGAAAGGTCACAGGCAGTTCCTCAGTGAAAGGGCCCCGTGGCCCACAGAGTCATGGATCCCACAGCACATCTATAAATGGATCTTCCCTTCTTTGATCACAGAAGCCTCAGGGATCCGCATATACTCAGAATGAACAAAGACCAGTAATTAAAGCTGAAATTATAGAGTTGAAATTCAGCAAGTGTCATATCCTCAAAGACTGCGGCTTCTCCAAAGATATTTTGCATTTCTGGTTCTCGGTTGCCGATTTCCCAGGACTCCGCTGCCTTGGGCAGACAGAAGGAGCAGTAAATGCTTGCTCACCCTGCAGTGACTCTCAGACGTCCAGGCCCTCAGAAATTTCTTTCTCTCAGGGTCCCTGGTGAGTATCATTCCTCAGCTGCTGCTGTTTTCCACAAGTTCATCCCCGGTGTCTGCAGCTTTAGCTTTTCTGGTGAAACCATTCTCTTGAGGGCCTGCTTCCTTGCAAGCCTCTCTTTTTTGTGCTTATGCCTGCTGTGGCCTTATCCCCAAGGGACGTTCCCAGTGTCTTTCCTTTAAGCCAGTGATTAGAAATCCTTTAAGCTCCACTGCAGCTTAACTATCTCCTCCATTGAAGTGCCTTGAAGGATTGCTTTAGGGACCAGGTTCGTAGTATGGGACAGCATCTTTTACCAATAATTGGCCAGAACCCAAACTTAGGCACCTATCTTTTGCTTCTGTCCCACCTTTGGGTAAGTTTTGTGCCATCTGTTCAACCCTGCCTTTCCATGTTGAAATAGTAATTTCGGTGCTCTTTTCATGGAGTTGTAAACCCCGTATTTCAGGAATTTGTGAGCCCCATCTCCTTATTCATGAGAGGAGGCTTCAGGGATCTTACACAGATAGGCCTCTGGGTGACATGCCCCAAGTTTTAGCCATTCTATTTTGCCCTCACCAGCTGCTCTCCAGAGAGCAGCTATCGCAGATTGTATTTTGTTTGCCCCAGGGACTACACAATCCCCTTATTAGAGAGTTGTATGCTGGCTTAAAAGTCTCATTGATTGATTGATTCATTCATTCACTTAATAAATATATATTAGATGCCTGACAACATATTTCCCAACTGTTCTTGGCACTGGGAATTAAAAAATAAACAAAATTTATCAAGTCTCTGCAGTTAGGTGAAGAAAACAGACAAAGACCCAATGGATATGCAGTAAGGGAAACATGCTAGGAAGAGCAATCAAGCGAGAGAGCTGTCATACTATTTTAGACAGGATTGTCAGTGAGTGACAAAGAAGTTGACAGTTAAGCAGAGACAAAAGTGAAATGAGAGGGGGAGGTTCCCCCCAGTGTAATTGCTGGGGGGAAGAACATGCTGAACAGAAGACGTGGCGAGGAAAAGGCCAGGAATGGAATCTGCTTGGCATTTTCTAGGAAAAGCCAAGGGGCCAGTATAGCTGGGAAAAAGGTGAGAAATAAGACCAGAACGGTAGCCAAGCCTCTACATTGAGTTGGCAATTTACAGGAAATACAAGGGGACAAGTAAGATATTAATGCAACTGTGTGGTACAATCAGCAAACTCTAAACTATAAAAACTCTGCAAGCCAAAGAAATTGCAAGGAAATATTTAATTTAATAATTTCAAGGAAAAAATAGAAAAGGAAAAAAGAACCAATAGATTAAAAGAGACTTACAATTGCCATGTATGGCATTTCTTGGGATCCTATTTCACACAAGAGAGGGGGAAAGGGGAGCAGAGGAAGGAAGTGAGGGAAAGATTGAGAGAAGTTGGGTGGTGCCTGTGGCTCAAAGAGTAGGGCGCTGGCCCCATATGCTGGAAGTGGC